CCCATTTTAGCATGGACATTGCCATTGAGGGCTTCCACCATTTTAAAGTAGTCAACTGGGCGGGGATTCCTATGAGTTGGGAGCAATCAGCCAATGAAGAAGAAGAAAATTGACTACTTTCAATGGCGCTGCCCATGCTGGCAAAGATTAGTCCCCTATCTATTTATTTCGCAGGAGGTTGGTGGAACCTTAATTAAGGGAGGACGGGCTCGTGGTAATGGCTGGAGCGGATTAGGTGGAATAGTATCAAATAATGGCTGGAACGGAGCTAATGAAATGGAACGCATGTGTTCGATGCCGTTCCATTGACTCCGTTCCAGCCATTATTATGAGCCATCCTCCCCTCAGCGCCTCCACTGATCTCTATGCCATTGTGCACACGCATATCTGCCCTCTTATTGTCTAAAATGGTCCCACCTGATCTTGTTCTATATCGTGGAGCTCCGCCCCATAGGGGAGCTCTGCTCCTATTGGTTTACCCCGCTGCCTAGGCAGCGAACAGCCTGAGACAAAATTATGCACACACCTGCAGCCAATAGGAGTACAGGTGTCTAAGAGGGGACGCTTCCCCTCAATCAGCCTCCCTTTATCTTCAGCGACTGGACTAGATTGAAGAAGCCAAGAAGAGACGAAGACTCAGGACGACGATAACGCCGTCGATTTCCAGCTCTCGACGTCGTCCTAAATGAGCACACCGGGAAATGTTCCACCCCCAAAAGCTATTTTCAGAGCTCAATGCCGCTGCTCCTCCATGGCGGCTGTGGACTTCCACGACCTTTGTTTCGGGTGATTGGGTTCACAGCACGCCAAGGACGGAATCAGCGATCCCCCTATTTGCGCCAGCTGCGCCCTCCTTCCATTGAAGGAGAGGAAGCAGCGCTGGGCGTTTTTTTAGGGAGGATATCCCCTTAGAGGATGTGCAATCGGTGTTAGCCTCAGCTTCTGAGGCATCATCTGAGGGCGCCGACTCTGAGGAAGACAGGGATTTTGGGGATGAGATGGATATTCCTATGGAACAATCCGTCCCTCTGACCCAAACTTTCAAGACCCCCTTTCCTTTGGAGAGTAAGAGGTCTTGTAATTCCCTGGGCGATGACGACACGGGCTCTGAGAGATCAGTGGCCCTGTCCTTCGCAGCAGCCTCTCTGCGCTCAGACTTTCCTGGGCTCATTGAGAGGGCTGCTAGGCGTCTAGAGGTAGCGCTGCCCCCCATTCCCCCCCGCTTCGGAGGTGGATATGATGGAGGGCGGACCTTATTCTCGGCCGAGGAGGGCGGCAGAGCCACTGGCTCCAGCCATGCCCTCTCTCAGCAAATACGTTGAGGGCTCATGGGAGGCACCTTTAGCGGCGCGTTCGCCGGCTAAAACATACCTCCCATTCACTAGAGTGGAAGGGAGACAGATGGTTTCTAGGGGAATCCCCAGGCTCAAGAGCGCCATGGCGGCGTATCTCGTGCCTGGGTCGAGTCCCTGGCCCTCCTCCAAAAAGGCCACATTGCCGACGCAGAAGGACAGACTCACAGCGCAGCTGGCGGAGAAGTCCTTCACGTTGGGAGCCCAGGCTGTAGCAGCAGCCAACAATATTGCCCTCCTCGTGGCCTCTCTGTCCCATCTAACAACAGGTAGGACTGAGCTCACGAGAGAGGAGGTGGAAGAGGCGTCCAGAATTTCTGCCGCTATTCTTCACCTAACTCAAGCGTCGGCCGTCTGTGTGGGGAGGTCCATGGCCACTTCGGTGGTCACGGAGCGACACCTCTGGCTGTCTTTGACGGCCATGAAAGAGGCCGAAAGAGCGCCACTGCTTAACGCCCCCCTCTCTGACGACGGTCTCTTTGGAGTCGCCGTCAAAGAGGCGACGGAGCGATTTGCTAAGTTGGACGAGGAGAGGAAGCAGCTGGCTAGACACCTGCCACTGGCAGGGAAGTCTAGCCACGCACCACAGAAGCCGTCCACCTCCACCGCCCCCAGTAGATCGGGATCTACGGCGAGGTGGCGCGCCAGGCGTCAGACGTCGGCCGCGAGCAGCAGGCGAGTGGGCCCTGCCCCCCCAGCGGCACCCGTGGCTACGCCGATTCCGCCGGCGAGAGAGGTGATCACAGCGTCGACCTGGCAGCACCCTAAGGGTGCTCAGAAGAGACGGCGCCAATGACGGGACGAGGGGGAAAGAATGGTAGCTGGCACAGCGCATGTTCCGACTGAGCCCACTATTCCCCCCCACCCTTCTGTTGAGGGTATGGAGGAGACTGTATGTTTCGATGTGTGTAATAAAGAGTTGGCTCCAATTGACTTTGTCACAAGAGAGCCCCTTTTCCATAACACGTCTGAGAACGTTCAGAACACTTCACTCTCTATGTCTCTCCCCCACCACTCTGAGTGTAGCTCAGCCCACCAAGGGTGCGTAGCTGAGCACACACAGGAGGTGAGTGTTAAAAAAGTATCAAGGCGCTGCCTTGTGTTACCTCATAAAGACCTCACGTTACAGACTCCTAGGAGTGCTGTAGTGAGTGTCTCACATAGCAGGCTGCAGTCTCAGCCAGATAATGGCATGATGACGCAACCGCTATTCGGGGACGGCGCTCTGTCTCAGGCTAACGCCTCAGTCAGTGCAGTTCAGACCTGTGCTGCGTTCACGGAGGGCCGGAATACTACGGTTACAAGTTTAACCAACGTATTAGCGCCCCCGTTTCTCTCAGAACGCGCTCTTCCGCTTTCTCTGCATTGCTGGGAGTGGCGGCGAAGCTGTACTCTCTCCCACTGGCTAGACCAGGTGCTGGAGAAGGGTTATGCCATCCAATTTCATCGGACCCCCCCGTTCAGGGGGGTGGTGGAGACGGTGATGAAAACGCCCGAAAAAGTGGCCGCTCTGGTTTCAGAGATTACAGAACTTTTGGCGAAGGAGGCGGTCACAGTAGTTCCACGGGAGCAAAGGAACAAAGGGCTATATTCGCCCTACTTCCTAGTGCCCAAAAATACATGGGGAATGAGGCCGATATTGGATTTATGCATTCTCAATGAGAGCGTAGCCAAACGGCCCTTCCGAATGCTAATGACAAAACGTCTACTGGAATGTGTCCAGAAGGGAGACTTTTGTACAAGCATAGACCTAAAGGTGATACTTTCATGTGCCGGTGCAGCCGCGTCACAGAAAGTTTCTGCGATTCGCCTTTCAAGGGGTGGCGTACGAGTTCACAAGGATGCCATTCGGGTACGCCCTGGCACCTCGCACGTTTTCCAAATGTGTGGAGGCGGCATTGGAACCGTTGCGTCGTCAGGGAATAAGGCTACTAGCCTACTTAGACGACCTACTGGTTCTTGCCCCGTCAGCAGAGCTGGCGTTCACTCACACGACACAGACAGTGATTAATCTCACGCGTCTGGGGTTCGCTGTTAATTGGAAAAAGAGCGCGCCCTGGCCCAGTCATCAGATTGTCTACCTGGGGATACAGCTAGACACTGTAATGAATTTCGGACCCTCGAAGGGCAGCCCTGTTGCTAGCCCTGAGAAGGTTTCGTCCGAAGCAGACGGTAACGGCGTTGTCAGTCATGTCACTTTTGTGTCTTATGTCGTCAGCCCATTCCGTGGTCCCGCCTGCACTCCTGCGCATGCGCAGGATGCAGCGATGGTTTGCCCAACTCAGTCAGATGTTGATTGCGCCACCACAATTCTACATCGACGGGACGCGTTGTCTCAGGCGGGAGGCTCAATAGGGCGATTGCTCATAATCTGCCGACCACTGAAGGCTTGGCTCCTGAGAGGGATAGGCTTGAGCCCTGTGGGTTATCTGATTCAGTAATCAGGACCATAAAGGGTTCACTTGCCGGTTCCACTTCCAGGGTGTATGCCAGTAAATGGAACGTGTTTTCACAGTGGTGTGTCACAGAGAATGTAGACACCATGAACTGTCTGGTTGAGAGTGTACTCTCGTTCCTGCAGTTTATGTTTGATAAGCAGCGATCGCCCGCCACCATTAAGGTGCTTGCAGTGGCGATTTCAGCTTGTCACGAGGGGTTTGGCAGAGACACTGTCTTCAGCCACCCTCTAGTGAAACGTTTCTTATTAGGAACGCGGCGGCTTTGGCCAATGCCTAGAGCCACGCTTCCTCAGTGGGATTTGGCTTTGGTACTCGAAGCGCTCTGTGAGTCGCCGTTCGAGCCATTGAATCAAATACCCCTCAAGATGCTGTCTATGAAGACGGCACTGTTGCTCGCTTTGACTACTGCTAAGCGTGTCAGTGATTTGTGTGCTCTTTTGACGAGACCCGACTGCCTTGCCATTAATGGTGATTTGAGCAGAGCGGTGTTATGTCCTAATCCAGCATTTATGTGGTCCTCTGTAGCTCAGCTGGTAGAGCACGGCGCTTGTAACGCCAAGGTAGTGGGTTCGATCCCCGGGACCACCCATACACAAAAAAAAAAAATATTATGCACGCATGACTGTAAGTTGCTTTGGATAAAAGCGTCTGCTAAATGGCATATTATTATTTATGCCAAAGGTTATTTAGAGCTCATATAGATCACAGACTGTGGAGCTGTGTGCTTTTTCTCCCCCTCCCCATGTCTCAGGTCCTAGAGCCTGAGAAGGGAGATATGGAGAACTAAAAGTAGGAAGAAATGAGAGTTTTGTTTGTTTTGGCAATGTACTCTTTTTATTAGGGTGGAGTTAGTATCACTATTAAGTATGGATTTATTTTGTGGTTTCAAACCATCCAGTTGGTGGCGGCAATACAACTTTTGGATGTAGTCCGCCATAAAACCCACAGAAGAAGAAGAAGAAGAAGACGGTTGGTATCCAATGTTAATGGTGCTTTCCTGCCACCAATTGGACGGGTTACTGCTGATCTGACCAATCGACAAGGAGTTGTACATTTGGTAGCCAATCACACACGACAACACAGTGTCTTTGAAAGATTGGCGGTCGAAGCAGACAACAGTGTGCCGTTTGCTTTCAGAATTATCGTACTAACGTTTTGTTTTATTTAACATAAAACTAAATACTTCAGTATGATGCAGGTAAGAGTTTCATTTTTAATTTAATTAATCAAGTTTCTTCCCACATTGCTGTTGTCTCTAGCTAATAGCTAGCTAAAGCGTTACTAGCTAGGGTTGTTTGAAAATGGCGTTGGCTAGTTAACGTTAGCTCCAATGGTGAAGCTAACTTGAAGTACTTGCTAAACTATTCTATCTCTTTGCAGAATAAGGAGAATCGTGATCCTAAAGGGCTACATAGACCGGTAGGTTTTGTCACAAGTATTTTCTCTCTTTTTGCTTCCCTCCTTTCCCATCTTTAATTTGAGCGCTTTGTATCTAACGTTAACGTAACTAGCTAATAACGTTGACTAGTTAACTTTAGTTGTCCGTTTAGCTGTCTATCTAGTTAGGTACCATTTTGAATTCATTAATTCAATTCAAACGACAATTCAGAAATGTGTACCAGTACTGGGGAGCTGGAGGCAATTGGGTTTAATCCAGGATGTTTTTTCTACATGATAGATGGCAACTCCAATGGTTTCTGTGGGTCCTCAGCGAGTTCAAATGCCGTCTGCCTCAGAGGCCACAGACAAAAACGCAATTACAGGTACATTTCTATAGCTACTATTTTGCCTGTGGTGTTTCTAGAGCTTTTCAGATGCCACATCACACCACCTCAACATAATACACCAACATTCTGTATCCCTATCTCCTTAAGGTCCTGGGAGAGCGCTTGCCACCTCTTCATCCAGTGCAGCTCCAGCAAAGTAAATATTCTATCACACAATACCATCACCTGACACTAAATGTGTATAAGAAAAGGGGTCTTTTAGATTTTGTAAAATATTTGTATTTTCTTGTTGTGGCTTAGCAACATCTGTTTATTCTCTAATCAGGAAATTCACCATCAATGACTTTGACATTGGGCGGCCACTCGGAAAAGGCAAGTTTGGGAATGTTTACCTGGCCCGGGATAAGAAGCTGGACTTCATCGTGGCGCTGAAGGTGCTCTTCAAGTCTCAGATGGAGAAAGAGGGCGTGGAGCACCAGCTCAGGAGGGAGATCGAGATTCAGTCCCACCTTAGGTCAATAGTTTGATTTAGACTTTTATTCAATTTAAAGGGGCAGTTTCTCGGACACAGATTGAAACATAATACTGGAATGAAATGTATTTTCAATGGATATTCTGTCTCTGGAAAACCGGCCCTTTGAATGTAGTGGTGTAGGTTGTTGCCTTACTATTGTGTTTCTGCAGGCAATGTTGTGGCATGTTGATTAACACCAATATTATGTCCAGAACGATACCAGTATTGCGATACTCGTTAATATTGTGGCAAGGAAACAAAACAAGAAGGGGATTTAACTTATTTAGGAAAAAAGTGTGTTGGAAACAAACATTATGTTGTTATCCAGAGTCATTTATTTTCCAAGCTATAGCACATAATATTTTGTATACATGTTTTTAAAGGACCAAAGTGTGTGGTCTGCTGTGTTTTCCTTTTTGCCATTAAAAAATACTGCGTCCCAGCCCTAACCAATATCATGCAATGTACTTATTTCAGTTGGCTTTTGAAACTGACCATAATTCCCTTTATAGTTCAGTGTATGTTAGTTTCTCAGATTATGGAAAGCTGGGAGATTAAATCATTGCTCTCTCTCCACCCTCCTTTAGACACCCCAACATCCTGCGCTTCTACAACTACTTCCATGACCGCACCAGGGTCTTCCTGATCCTGGAGTACGCACCACGGGGGGAGATGTACAAAGAGCTGCAGAAATGTGGTCGCTTTGATGACCAGCGCACTGCTACAGTAAGACAGGAATCCATGTTGCAGGCTATTTATTTATAATGGTCGACAAGATAATGAATCTATTCGGACTAATCCATTGTTTTCTCTTGCTCTGTATTTGACCAAGAACACCTCCAATCATAACATTTTGTAACTGAAAGGTATTTTTTGGTTTATAGAATACAATTGATATGAATATTCCAACTATGGACTAGTTTTGGCAGGTAGATTCATGAGGCTGACATTCACTTTCTTAGCATTTTAAATGCATCACATGTAGTAGTCTGGAGTAATAATCAAATATTTGTAAAATGTTCTTTGTCAGTACATGGAGGAGTTGTCTGATGCGCTGCAGTACTGCCATGAGAGGAAGGTCATCCATCGGGACATCAAGCCTGAGAACCTGTTGCTGGGACTCAGAGGGGAGCTGAAGATAGCAGACTTTGGCTGGTCTGTCCACGCACCTTCCCTACGGTGAGGGAACCCTGAACAGAATCCTCTCCAGCCTGTGTTTGTACAAAAAATAAATGCTGTGAAGGCAATCTGTGTTAAATTGCAGGCAAATTGCGCAGAATTGCTAATCTACAAATCACCTTGCATTCCAAATACCTACTCATTATGTGAACAAGCTATTTAGTGACGTGATTAGCGATTCTGCGCCTCGTCTTGCTCAAACGGATCCCCTCAAAACAAACTGAATGTGGTCTTGGTCGACCGAACGTCGGCTGTTCTTCCGACCAGTCCATTGGTCGAAATTTTTAAAAGTGCATTTTTCCTTTATAGACAGTTTTTAATAAAATCAACTATATATATGCATTGAGCTTGTCTGATGCTTTAAGCTCGCTGTTTGATGAAATAAGACACAAATTACTCAAGAGGGAGCCAGAGATCAAGATAACCAGAAGAAAGAAACCTTAGCCTTTCCCGACCATCCTCCTCCCGCTCCTACTGGCTTTAGCAGATTCTGTGTTACTCTCCTGAAGTTGCCGGTAATAGGCTACACGAGGAGTCTGCAAACTTTCTCATGTGGAATGCCAATTTATCTTGCCATTTCTACCGATCTGCGTGCCAGTTACGGTTTTCATATGCACATTTTCGTGGAACAGTTTAATTTAACTTATAATAACGACTTCGTATTTCAAAATCATTGTCATGTGGTTAATGAAAATGATACGAACCTAAAAAGTAACTTATATTGCTATTGCCAACTATGCAAAACAATATCCTATAAAGCCAACAACTAAAAACATTGCAGCCTGCAGGTAGAAAATATTGAAATTAAAAAATAAGATTACACCGCTATAAATCAGATTGGCTACGCATGGCCTGTCTGCGACGAACTTGAAACATTGTATTAACTTGGCTCTGGCCTGAAGATCTTTGCAACATTGTATAAAATATTCTGGGCTCTCAGTTTCCTGGCGCCAGTGAGCTCGGGACAGACACAGCTGTAGGCTATTTGCGCTAGGGGTAAGAAGTAATCAGGTAGGCCTATGTTATGACGTTTCCACTGGATCAGAGCATTACATTTTTCCCTTTCAAGCAGAGTTATCAAAAGCGAGAGAGCTGGAAAGATTTTTCAAATACAGTGCATTCAGAAATTATTCAGACCCCTTGACTTTTTCCACATTTTGTTACGTTAAACCTTATTCTAAAATTGATTTACATATTTATTTTTTCTTATCAATCTACACACAATACCCCATGATGACAAAGCGAAAACAGGGTATCAGAAGTTGTAGCTAATTTATTAAAAATAAACTACAGCAATATCTTATTTACATAAGTATTGAGACACTTTGCTATGAGATTCAGAATTGAGCTCAGGTGCATCCTGTTTCCATTGATCATCCTTGAGATGTTACTACAACTTGATTGGAGTCCACCTGTGGAAAATTCAATTGATTGGACATGATTTGGAAAGGCACACACCTGACTATATAAGGTCCCACAGTTGACAGTGCATGTCAGAGCAAAACCAAGACATAAGGTCGAAATAATTGTCCGTAGAGCTCCGAGACAGGATTGTGTCGAGGCACAGATCTGGGGAAGGGTACCAAAACATTTCTGCAGCATTGAAGGTTCCCAAGAACACAGTGGCCTCCATCATTCTTAAATCGAAGAAGTTTGGAACCACCATGACTCTTCCTAGAGCTGGCCGCCCGTCCAAACTGAGCAATCAGGGGAGAAGGGCCTTGGTCAGGGAAGTGAACAAGAACCCGATGGTCACTCTGACAGAGCTCCAGAGTTCCATTGAGGAGATGGAAGAACCTTCCAGAAGGACAACCATCTCTGCAGCACTCCACCAATCAGGCCTTTGTGGTAGAGTGGCCAGACGGAAGCCACTCCTCAGTAAAAGGCACATGACAGCCCACTTGGAGTTTGCCAAAAGGCACCTAAAGGACTCTCAGTCCATGAGAAAAAAGATTATCTGGTCTGATGAAACCAAGATTGAACTCTTTGGCCTGAATGCCAAGCGTCACGTCTGGAGGAAACCTGGCACCATCCCTATGTTGAAGCATGGTGGTGGCAGCATCATGCTGTGGGAATGTTTTTCAGCGGCAGGGACTGGGAGACAAGTAAGGATCGAGGGGAAAAATTAATGGAGCAAATCACAGAGATCCTTGATGAAAACCTGCTCCAGAGCGCTCAGGACCTCAGACTGATTCACCTTCCAATAGGACAACCACCCTAAGCACACAGCCAAGACAACGCAGGAGTGGCTTCGGGACAAGTCTTTGAATGTCCTTGAGTGGCCCAGCCAGAGCCCGGACTTGAACCCGATCGAATATCTCTGGAGAAACCTGAAAATAGCTGTGCAGCAGCGCTCCCCATCCAACCTGACAGAGCTTGAGAGGATCTGCAGAGAAGAATGGGAGGAACTCTACAAATACAGGTGTGCCAAGCTTGTATCGTCATACCCAAGAAGACTCGATGCTGTAATCGCTGCCAAAGGTGCTTCAACAAAGTACTGAGTAAAGGGTCTGAATACTTATGTAAATGTGATATTTCCGTTTATTTTTAATACATTTGCAAAAACATAGAACCCTGTTTTTGCTTTGACATTATGGGGTATTGTGTGTAGATTGATGAGGGGGGGGGGAAACTATTTAACCCGTTTTAGAATAAGGCTGTAATGTAACAAAGTGGAAAAAGTCAAGGGGTCTAAATACTTTCTGAATGCACTGAGGAATTATTGTCATTCTCAATGGATATAAAAACATACTTCATTTGGTTGCTGTTTGAGGTGAAGAAAACATTCATTTGAGAAGCTCCACAGCTCATTAGTGGTGGTGCATTAAGCCAATCAGAAATACTATCAGATCCTCAACATTGACAGAAGTGCTCCAAACAAATGACAATGACTAAATTTACAAAACTCGTAAATGGAATGTGAGAAACAAGTTTTGGTTTATTTAATTCCAAGTGTAGAATAGGTTGTGCGCTCTGCAAACGTGTCCACTCCGACAATGAATACAGTAAAAGACTGGAGTAATAATATGTTGAATGCATTAAGACTTTACTGTAACAAAACAAACAATGTAGATTAGGAATTAACGGTGAATGTACTACTGGTGATATATGTAATGGGAATTCTGGAGAGAGAAGTGCGTTGTGCAGCCACACTCCCCTTCTTGGACTGTGCCATCCCCCGCGGCCTCCGCAATGGATTAGTTGACTGAGATGGGGGCAAATAAGACCGGTGTCTCGTGTGCCATAAAAAATATATATACAGTACCTGTCAAAGGTTTGGACACACCTACTCATTCAGGGATTTTTCTGTATTTTTGCTATTTTCTACATTGTGGAATTATAGTGAAGACGTCAAAACTATGAAATAACACATATGGAATCATGTATGGGGGGGGGAAATGTATGCACTCACTAACTGTAAGTCGCTCTGGATAAGAGCGTCTGCTAAATGACGTAAATGTAAGCAGTTCCCACATGCTGAGCACTTGATGGCTGCTTTTCCTTCACTCTGCGGTCCAACTCATCCCAAACCATCTCAATTGGGTTGAGGTCGGGTGATTGTGGAGGCCAGGTCATCTGATGCAGCACTCCATCACTCTCCTTGGTCAAATAGCCCTTACACAGCCTGGAGGTATGTTTTGGGTCATACACCATCCCAAACCAGATGGGATGGTGTATTGCTGCAGAATGATGTGGTAGCCATGCTGGTTAAGTGTGCTGTGGGGCTATCATTTGTTTTTCAACAGGACAATGAGTCACCAGCAAAGCAACCCCACACCATCACACCTCCTCTATGCTTCACGGTGGGAACCACACATGCGGATATCATCCGTTCACCTACTCTGCATCTCGCAAAGACACGGCGGTTGGTGGCAAAAATCTCAAATTTCAGCCCAAAGGACAGATTTCCACCGGTCTTCTGTCCATTGCTCGTGTTTCTTGGCCCAAGCAAGTGTCTTCTTATTGGTGACCTTTTTAGTAGTGGTTTCTTTGCAGCAATTCGACCATGAAGGCCTGATTCATGCTGTCTCCTCTGAACAGTTGATGTTAAGATGTGTCTGTTACTTGAACTCTGAAGCATTTGTTTGGGCTGCAATCTGAGGTGCAGTTAACTCTAATGAACTTATCCTCTGTAGCAGAGGTAACTGTGGGTCTTCCTTTCCTGTGGCGGTCCTCATGAGAGCCAGTTTCATCATAGTGCTTGATGGCTTTTGCGACTGCACTTGAAAACTTTCAAAGTTCTTGGAATATTCCGGATTGACTGACCTTCATGTCTTAAAGTAATGATGGACTGTCGTTTCTCTTTGCTTATTTGAGCTGTTCTTGCCATAATATGGACAGCCCTATTTGGTAAAAGACCATCTTCTGTATACCACCCCTACCTTGTCCCAACACAACTGATTGGCTCAAACGCATTAAGAAGGAAAGAAATTCCACAAATGAACTTGTAACAAGGCACACCTGTCAATTGAAATCCATTCCAGGTGACTACCTCATGAAGCTGGTTGAGAGAATGCCAAGAGTGTACAAAGCTGTCAAAGGCAAAGGGTGGCTACTTTGAAGAATCTCAAATATAAAATATATTTTGATTTGTTTAACACTTTTTTGGTTACTACATGATTCCATATGTGTTATTTCATAGTTTTGATGTCTTCACTATTATTCTACAATGTAGAAAATAGTAAAAATTAAGAAAAACCCTGGAATGAGTAGGTGTGTCCAAACTTTTGACTGGTACTGTATATATTTGCTACTGCTCGACAAAAAGAAATCTCTGTCAACCAACAGCTTGTCGACCAAACAGTCGAACAGTCAAATAATTAGGGTCAGCCCTAGTATTCAATCATTAATTCACTGCGAGACATGTTTTTCCTTCCTCTTCATCATGACTGTCTATTTTGTAGGAATGGATCAGTTTCAAAACCCTACCACTTATATGTATTTGTTGACTTGTCCCTCTAGGCGCCAAACAATGTGTGGAACACTGGACTACCTGCCCCCAGAGATGATTGAGGGAAAGGCCCACGATGAGAAGGTGGACCTGTGGTGCATCGGGGTGCTCTGCTTTGAGTGCCTAGTTGGAAACCCACCCTTTGAAACCGCCAGCCACTCGGAAACGTACAAGCGCATCACAAAGGTTTGCATTTTTAGATGGTCAGCAACTTATTGGCAGAGCCTGCGGATCTGACTTTTCTGGACCCCCCTTCCTAACAGCTAAAGATCACGAAGCTTCTGTGCATGTGCGGGATTCTCTACTTTACACAAAATCTCTGCTCTATTCGTAAAGACCCTGCCTTCACATTTTTCACTGTCAATCATGAATGCTAATCAAGTTTTACAGGTGAAAGGTCCATGCAGCATCTGCATACCAACCATTTGATCTTAATCAGTTTCATGGGGATATGCATTTAGATCTTGAGTTATACAGTGTTTTGGATGATGTACAGTGAGCAAGCAGAGTAGCCTGTTCTCTACAAGTAGAGCAGAGACTGTGCGTAAAGTAGAGAATCATGCACAGAAACTTCGAGGCCTTTAGCTTTCTGGATGAGGGGTCGAGAAAAGTCAGGTCCGCAGTCACTCTGAAACTTTATTTTGTTAAAGGTGCTACACAGGATTTTTTTTGCATTTTTACATTGTCATTTCAGAAAATGTCCATAATATATCTGCGCTAATAGTGGAATGATAGTGTATTACTTACCCGCCAGTGTTGTGATTGGCTGTGATATTCACCTATTGATTTCTCTGTTAATCATTTCCAGGTTGTTACATTTCTACACTGTTCGCTCAATTTGTGAAAACAAGCACTGAATAGTTTAGGGAATCATTGTACCAAAAATATAGTTTTTACAGCTGCTTGAAGCTGGTGGACAAAAACCGCTACTTTTAAGCTGGACCAAAACCAAAAGTAGCTTTCGGTTTGGTCCACCAGCTTCAAACAGCTGGTGTTTGTTGTTGATAAGATATTTCACAAAAGTTATGGGCGGAGTTAGAAAGTATTACAATGTAAATTTACTTTTAATCCGCCTGTCTGCATATTTCAAGACATGGCATATGAGGGTGCATTGAATTAACCGATGGGTTGGACAACTTTTCTTGTCAATCATCTTGAAAAAACGTATACTTAACTGGAAATCAACCAATCCTCCATCGTTAACATGTTGGAAAGGTCAAATGCTTTATCTAAATGTTGAAAATGCGTGGGCGACAGAGAAACAATGTTGCAGTTTGATGCCATATGGTGGAGAGTGATGCAGGCGTTGGACATTGGGGTGTGAGCAGGTGGGTCTGGGCAGGTGTGATGTTGTTTGCATTTTTATATGCTGTCGTTTGTATGTGTGCTATTAAAAAAAATATATATATATATATATATATATATTAGTTGAAGTCAGAGGTTTACATACACCTTAGCCAAATACATTTCAACTCAGTTTTTCACAATTCCTGACATTTAATCCCAGTAAAAATGTCCTGTCTTAGGTTGGTTAGGATCACCACTTTATTTTAAGAATGTGAAATATCAGAATAATAGTAGAGAATTATTTATTTAATCACATTCCCAGTGGGTCAGAAGTTTACATACACTAAATTAGTATTTGGTAGCATTGCCTTTTTAAATTGTTTACCTGACACGTTTGACCCAAGTTAGTCTTCCACAAGCTTCCCACAATAAGTTGGGTGAATTTTGGCCCATTCCTCCTGACAGAGCTGGTGTAACGAAGTCAGGTTTGTAGGCCTCCTTGCTCGCACATACTTTTTCAGTCCTGCCCACACATTTTCTATAGGATTGAGGTCAGGGCTTTGATGGCCACTAATACCTTGACTTTGTTGTCCTTAAGCCATTTTGCCACAACTTTGGAAGTATGCTTAGGGTCATTGTGCATTTGGAAGACCCATTTGTGACCAAGCTTTAACTTCCTGACTGATGTCTTGAGATGTTGCTTCAATGTATCCACATAATGTTCCTTCCTCATGATGCCATCTATTTTGTGAAGTGCACCAGTCCCTCCTGCAGCAAAGCACCCCCACAGCATGATGCTGCCACCACCGTCCTTCACGGTTGGGGTGGTGTTCTTCGGCTTGCAAGCACCCCCTTTTTCCTCCAAACATAACGATGGTCATTATGGCCAAATAGTTCTCTTTTTGTTTCATCAGACCAGAGGACATTTCTCCAAAAAGTACGATCTTTGTCCCCATGTGCAGTTGCAAACCGTAGTCTGGCTTTTTTATGGTGGTTTTGGAGCAGTGGCTTCTTCCTTGCTGAGCGGCCTTTCAGCTTATGTCGATATAGGACTTGTTTTACTGTGGATATAAATACTTTTGTACCCATTTCCTCCAGCATCTTCACAAGGTCCTTTGCTGTTGTTCTGGGATTGATTTGCACTTTTCGCACAAAAGTACGTTCATCTCTAGGAGACAGAACGCGTCTCCTTCCTGAGCGGTATGATTGCTGCGTGGTCCCATGGTGTTTATACTTGCGTACTAATGTTTGTACAGATGAATGTGGTACCTTCAGGCATTTGGAAATTGCTCCCAAGGATGAATGTTCTTTTTTTCTGAGGTCTTGGCTGATTTCTTTTGATTTTCCCATGATGTCAAGCAAAGAGGCACTGAGTTTGAAGGTAGGCCTTGAAATACATCCACAGATACACCTCCAATTGACTCAAATTATGTCAATTAGCCTACCAGATGCTTCTAATATTATTTTCTGGACTTTTCCAAGCTGTTTAAAGGCACAGTCAACTTAGTGTATGTAAACTTCTGACCCACTGGAATTGTGATACAGTGAATTATAAGTGAAATAATCTGTCTGTAAACAATTGTTTGAAAAATTAGTTGTGTCATGCACAAAGTAGATGTCCTAACCGACTTGCCAAAACTATAGTTTGTTAACAAGAAGTTTGTGGAGTGGTTGAAAAACGAGTTTCAATGACGCCAACCTAAGTGTATGTAAACTTCCGACTTCAACTGTATAACACACATATACACAGTGCCTTCAGAAAGTATTCAGACCCCTTGACCTTTTCCACATTTTTGTTACATTACAGCCTTATTCTAAAATTCCTCAGCAATCTACACACAATACCCCATAATGACAAAGGGAAAAGGGGTTTGTAGAAATGTTTGCACATTTAATAAAAATTAAAAACCGATACCTTATTTACATAAGTATTCAGACCCTTTGCTATGAGACTTGAAATTGAGCTCCGATGCATCCTGTTTCCATTGATCACCCTTGACGGTTCTACAACTTGATTGGAGTCCACCTGTGGTAAATTCAATTAATTTGACATTTTTTAATTTTTTTATTTAACCTTTTATTTAACTAGACAAGTCAGTTAAGAACAAATTCTTATTTACAACGATGGCTACACCGGCCAAACTCGGACAATGCTGGGCCAATTGTGCACCGCCCTATGGGACTCCCAATCACGGCTGGTTGTGATACAGCCTGGAATCGAACCAGGGGGTCTGTAGTGACGCCTCAAGCACTGAGATGCAGTGCCTTAGACCGCTGCGCCACTCGAGAGCATGATTTGGAAAGGCACACACCTGTCTATATAAGGTCCCACAGTTGACAGTGCATGTCCGATCAAAAACCAAGCCAGGAGGTCGAAGGAATTGTCCGTAGAGCTCCCAGACAGGATTGTGTTGAGGCACAGATCTGGGGAAGGGTACTAAAACATTCCTGCAGCATTGAAGGTTCCCAGGGACACAGTGGCCTCCATCATTCTTAAATGGAAGGGGTTTGGAACCACCAAGACTCTTCCTAGAGCTGGCCGCCCCAGCCAAACTGAGCAATCGGGGGAGAAGGGCCTTGGTCAGGGTGACCAAGAACCCGATGGGCACTCTGACAGAGCTCCAGAGTTCCTCTGTGGAGATGGGAGAACGTTCCAGAAGGACAACCATCTCTGCAGCACTCCACCAATCAGGCCTTTATGGTGGAGTGGCCAGAGTGAAGCCACTCTTCAGTAAAAGGCACATGACAGCCCGCTTGGAGTTTGCCAAAAGGCGCCTAAAGGACTCCCAGACCATGAGAAGCAAGATTCTCTGGTCTGAAGAAACCAAGATTGAACTCTTTGGCCTGAATGCCAAGCGTCACGTATTGAGGAAACCTGGCACCATCCCTACGGTGAAGCATGGTGGTGGCAGCATCATGCTGTGGGGATGTTTTTCAGCGGCAGGGACTGGGAGACTAGTGAGGATCAAGGCGAAGATGAACGGAGCAAAGTACAGAGTGTTCCTTGATGTAAACCTGCTCCAGAGCGCTCAGGACCTCAGACTGATTCACCTTCCAATAGGACAACCACCCTAAGCACACAGCCAAGACAACGCAGGAGTGGCTTCGTGACAAGTCTTTGAATGTCCTTGAGTGGCCCAGCCAGAGCCCGGACTTGAACCCGATCGAATATCTCTGGAGAAACCTGAAAATAACTGTGCAGCAGCGCTCCCCATCCAACCTGACAGAGCTTGAGAGGATCTGCAGAGAAGAATGGGAGAAACTCCCCAAATACAGGTGTGCCTAGCTTGTAGCGTCGTACCCAAGAAGACTCTATGCTGTAATGGCTGCCAAAGGTGCTTTAACAAAGTACTGAGTAAATGGTCTGAATACTTAAGTAAATGCGATATTTCTGTTTTTATTTTTATAAATTAGCAGAAATGTCTAAATCTGTTTTTGCTTTTATCATTATGGGGTATTGTGTGTAGATGAGGGGAAAAAACAATTTAATACATTTTAGAATAAGGCTGTAACAAAAAGTCAAGGGGTCTGAATACTTCCCGAAGGCGCTGTATATAAACTATATTTCACAGCCATTTAATGGTACAATGATTCCCACACTATTCGGTGCCTGAAATTGAGCGACGTGTCGAATTTTAGCAACCAGGAAATGATAACACAGCCACAAAGTCAGAACCGCTTTCCCAGTTTGACAACGGATGCCGTGAGAGAAATCAATAGGCGAATATCACCACAAATCACAACACTGGAGGATAAGTAATACTGTCAAACATAATCATTCCACTGTTAGTGCCAGAGAGATTTACATTTTCCTGAAATTACAATGCAAAATTTCTAAAATATCCTTTGTGTAACACCTTTAAGTAACTGCTATATAGAAAATGCTTTTATGCAACCTATTTGTAATTTGTTCAGAGAATGATGATTGATTCATCCAGTAATGTTATCATCTATTTCATGGGCAGTCACTTGATAAATTGCATCATGATTGACATGCATGTTGTAGCTAAATATTTAACCAATGCATAAACTGTGATTAATGACATCTCCTCCCTCCATGTCTCTCAGGTGGACCTGCAGTTCCCCAAGGTGGTGTCTGACGGGGCTCGGGACCTGATCTCTAAGCTGCTCCGCCACAGCCCCTCCATGCGGCTGCCGCTGCAGAGTGTAATTGACCACCCCTGGGTGAAAAACAACTCACGGCGGGTCCTACCTCCCGCCTTCGCTCCCAAGAAACCCTAAAAGCATCATAGACAAATTATATATATTCACTGTTCCAGTCTGCCTTCTACCTGAGTGAGGGACTGACTCGTGCCCTGCTGATTGGGAGGGAATGTGGCGATGGATACCTTATTTTTATATTTATTATTTTTTTGCTCCACTTTCAAGGGTTTCACACTGTGTTTTTGTTTTGTTACCCGGACAATCTTCATCCACAAGGTTTAAAGGGGTATTTTAACTTTTAATTTCTCTGATTTATAAGATCTCCAGATCTGTCAAACTAGATCAGGGTTTCCCAAACTCGGTCCTGGGGCCCCCTCTGGGTGCACGTTTTGGTTTTTGACCTAGCACTACACAGCTGATTTGAAATGATGAAAGCTTGACGAGTTGGTTATTTGAATCAGCTGTGTAGTGTTAGGGCAAAAATTAAAACTTGAGGAAGGCCATTAAGAATAAGGATGATTCCTTTATAATTCTTAAATGTATTTCAAGAAAAGTATTTCGTTTATTTGTTTCCTATCTCCTTTTTTCGGATTGTTTTTGTACAGCATGTATGAAACGTCCTCTATGAAGTTTGTATCTGTGAAATGTCCTTGTGCAACTGTTTCTGAAATAAAAATCATCCCAAAGGTGAGGGAACCCTGAACTGAACTCTCCAGCCTAATGTTTGCACCACAAATGCTGTGAAGTCAATGTGTGTTTGAGATCAACTGGATTGCAGGATGGTGCAAAATTGATTTTATGCAGAAGGGTGGCAAGGATGAATTGAAGTTATGAATTTTAGCAGGTAAAATTCCATATTTTACCACCTTTTGCCAGCAGAAGATAGCGTTCTCTTGCTTCTGTAGTCCACTGGGAATAGCACTGTCCTGCAAATTACTCCTGTAATGTGGTGACAGTGTTTCTCTGTGCTGTTGTCTGGGGACTGCATGACTGACTGGGGTGCATCTAAAATGGCACCTTATGGACACTGGCAGAGGGCGATAAGGATCACTAATACATTGTAAAGCCCGGGTGTGAGTGTAGTAAATACACTAAGTTCTGTGAGTAATTAATACTGTATGGTAACACTATCTGGCTGTCATAACTGAATAATGCATAGAAATTGATACAGAGGCTATTATAGTGAAGGGAGCATTACATCGCAGTTTTTCAACGCACCCATTCGTACTGCGGACAAGTTTGACACCGGTGTGCAGCTCAGTAGATTCAGACTGCACTAACTTGGAGGGTTGAGGAACCACAGGATTTTGTGAGTCATGTTAGCAATAAACATGAAGCACAGCTCTCACTGGTTTCAATAAACCTGTGGCCTCAAGTCTCACATCTGTGCCATATGCGCGAGTAGACTCGATTTCACCGAGCATCTGTGATGTCACTAGATTTCAAAATGACTGACACCGTGGTGAGGTGGCCAGTTCATCTCTGATCAATTAGTATTTTCAGTTTTACCCCAGTGTACTGTGCATCCACCATTGGCTTCCTAAAGAAATTGTACAGGGAGCTATACATATTGAAAAAGTCCTCAGACGACATTGCATGCACCACAACCAAATGCAGACCTTCAACCAGGCGATACAAAAGGCCAGCTTTCTCTCACTGAAAAGGCGGCTCAGGTAAGTGTCAAGACACCTGCGCTGGCCCCTTCCTCAACACCAAGGTCGTCAGGTGCTAGTGGCTGGGGTAACGGAGGTGCAGGTGCTTGTTGTGATGTTACCCTCGTGCTTAGCCAACTACCTATAATTATTCAGTGCGCAAGTACCAAAACTTGACCAAGTTAGCTGTAGCTGTCTGCAAAAGTGAACAACCTTTTCTCACTGTGAGGAAAACAAACTGTCAATTTGACCCCGTCCTGGGATCCAATGAGCTTCCTAAACAAGGTAATTAAAGCGGTACCTAATGACATTGCATGGCTAGGTGCCCAATCAGAATGCATTTTTGGATTTTACTACTAAATTTTACATTATTACATCCCCCCTTCTCCCCACTCCTCAGATCATGAGCACACACCCGCATATAGCCTCTGTCCCGGTCTTCTGTAAGGACCGGGAGACCCATGGGGCGGCGCACAATTGGCCCAGCGTTGTCCAGGGTAGGGGAGAGAATGGCCGGCAGGGATGTAGCTCAGTTGGTAGAGCATGGCGTTTGCAATGCCAGGGTTGTGGGTTCGAAAAAAATAAAAAAATTAATGTATGCACTCACTAACTGTAAGTCGCTCTGGATAAGAGCGTCTACTAAATGACTAAAATGTAAAATGGAAGGTTGTGCATCCAAATGTAAACTATATGCTCATCTGCTCCTACTTATACAGTGGGGAAAAAAAGTATTTAGTCAGCCACCAACTGCAAGTTCTCCCACTTAAAAAGATGAGAGAGGCCTGTAATTTTAATCATACACGTCAACTATGGTGGAAAATAAGTATTTGGTCACCTACAAACAAGCAAGATTTCTGGCTCTCACAGACCTGTAACTTCTTCTTTAAGAGGCTTCTCTGTCCTCCACTCGTTACCTGTATTAATGGCACCTGTTTGAACTTGTTATCAGTATAAAAGACACTTGTCCACAACCTCAAACAGTCACACTCCAAACTCCACTATGGCCAAGACCAAAGAGCTGTCAAAGGACACCAGAAACAAAATTGTAGACCTGCACCAGGCTGGGAAGACTGAATCTGCAATAGGTAAGCAGCTTGGTTTGAAGAAATCAACTGTGGGAGCAATTATTAGGAAATGGAAGACATACAAGACCACTGATAATCTCCCTCGATCTGGGGCTCCACGCAAGATCTCACCCCTGTGGGGTCAAAATGATCACAAGAACGGTGAGCAAAAATCCCAGAACCACACGGGGGGACCTAGTGAATGACCTGCAGAGAGCTGGGACCAAAGTAACAAAGCCTACCATCAGTAACACACTACGCCGCCAGGGACTCAAATCCTGCAGTGCAAGACGTGTCCCCCTGCTTAAGCCAGTACATGTCCAGGCCCGTCTGAAGTTTGCTAGAGTGCATTTGGATGATCCAGAAGAGGATTGGGAGAATGTCATATGGTCAGATGAAACCAAAATAGAACTTTTTGGTAAAAACTCAACTCGTCGTGTTTGGAGGACAAAGAATGCTGAGTTGCATCCAAAGAACACCATACCTACTGTGAAGCATGGGGGTGGAAACATCATGCTTTGGGGCTGTTTTTCTGCAAAGGGACCAGGACGACTGATCCGTGTAAAGGAAAGAATGAATGGGGCCATGTATCGTGAGATTTTGAGTGAAAACCTCCTTCCATCAGCAAGGGCATTGAAGATGAAACGTGGCTGGGTCTTTCAGCATGACAATGATCCCAAACACACCGCCCGGGCAACGAAGGAGTGGCTTCGTAAGAAGCATTTCAAGGTCCTGGAGTGGCCTAGCCAGTCTCCAGATCTCAACCCCATAGAAAGTCTTTGGAGGGAGTTGAAAGTCCGTGTTGCCCAGCGACAGCCCCAAAACATCACTGCTCTAGAGGAGATCTGCATGGAGGAATGGGCCAAAATACCAGCAACAGTGTGTGAAAACCTTGTGAAGACTTACAGAAAACGTTTGACCTGTGTCATTGCCAACAAAGGGTAAATAACAAAGTATTGAGAAACTTTTGTTATTGACCAAATACTTATTTTCCACCATAATTTGCAAATAAATTCATTAAAAATCCTACAATGTGATTTTCTGGATTTTTTTTCTCCTCATTTTGTCTGTCATAGTTGACGTGTACCTATGATGAAAATGACAGGCCTCTCTCATCTTTTTAAGTGGGAGAACTTGCACAATTTGTGGCTGACTAAATACTTTTTTCCCCCACTGTATATATGATTTTATACACTGAGTGTACAAACATTAGGAACACCTTCCTAATATTGAGTTGCACCCCCTTTTGCCCTCAGAACATACTCAATTCGACAGGGCATGGACTACAAGGTTTCGAAAGCATTCAAAAGGGATGCTGGCCCATGTTGACATCAATTCTTCCCACAGTTGTGTCAAGTTGGCTGGATGTCCTTTGGGTGGTGGACCATTCTTGATACACATGGGAAACTGTTGAGCGTGAAAAACCCAGCAGCATTGCAGTTCTTGACACACTCAAACCGGTGTGCCTGGCACCTACTACCATACCCCGTTCAAAGGCACTTAAATATTGTGTCTTGCCCATTCACCCTCTGAATGGCACAAATACACAATACATGTCTCAATTGCATGGGCGGCTTGTTCAATAGGGCGATATGGGCGACGCACTGCCAAACGGGAAAAGGAAGGGATTTTTTTTCTAATCAATTATATCACGGCAACAGCAGTTATCAGTGTTCACGTCTGATCTGCCAGCCACTAAATGTCAAATCAGGCTAAAGTCGTGCTTCAAATGGCCCCGCCCGTTTTTTGGGCGATTTCAGTCAGGTTGAAAATCGCCCAGAAGTCTCTCATAGCCTGTCATGTAAAATATATTTTTTTCACATTTCAAAGCTTTCAATACATTCTCTATGGGTGTCTGTGGGCATGCACTTACGCGCTTTCGTCATACGTGACGTAAGGTTGAACGTAACTAAGACAATGGCGGCTAGCAGCGTCTATGTTTCGACCTGCAGTGTTGCGTTATTTTATGTTTTTAATTTGTAGACTTAGTTTACAAACATTCTGCAAACATTCTGCTTTGGACTGATCTTCGGTTTTGGACTGATCTTGTTGATCGTGTACATACCCGCTACGAACGGACTAAATAATGAAAACGCTGCAGGCAGCTGTAATCCCAATACAGCTGGGAGACTTGGCTGGATGACAGAGTCCCGGACAGAGAAGTGGAGCCGGCCGGCTTCACCCTGGTCAGAGCGGACCGCGATCCTGGTAAGAGAGCGACTCTGTACCCCGACATTGAACTGCTTTCTGTGTCATTGAACCTTACTATTGTTGATAAAACAAGTTTACTGGAGAACGGAGACCAAGTAGAGACTTTTGGACAAGGTGGATAATTGTATAATATAAGGCAGTTTATTCAGAG